TCAACAGTTCAAATTAAAAAGCTTATTTGAGATAAAATAAAACATACAGTTTGCAAAAATATCTATTCTCACCTTGAGTAAAGTCGTAGGGAAACGCCTGTTCCAACCGTTGCATTTCCAAATTCTCCCGAGCGGTGCACGACTTTACACGAGTGAATTAGGTGAATGTGATTGGTCGTTTATCAAGGTATCATTTTCTTGCCAGCATCTTGCTAACCAGATAGCAAATTAGTGCTAGTAGGTTCCCAATCAGAAATTAAATTGGGACCACGTAGCACTAAATTGGTGACTTAGCAACGACACTGTTAAGGAACGCTATGGACAGCGGAAACATGCAAGAGGAGGAGAGTTTTGTGGTGGAGGTCGTTAGGGTGGCCATTTCTATAGCACCAAAAAGGAGGACATTGTGCGGCATATCAATAAATTACTAAGGTGTACATAAGAATCGGGTAAAGTCACATTTATAGTACAATTCTTAGTGGTTTAAAGAGGATGCTTGTGTAGCTGAATAGAACAAAATATTAAAGAAATGTAAAAAAAATAATAATTGGCTTCCCAGCATTTGTATTTATTTAATACATTGTGGTGTTTAAAAAGTGACCATCGAGATGAATCTTTAAAGTGCGGAATACCACAAAGCATAAGATGTGTGGACTTAAACGTTAAAAAAAATCTTTTTAACAAGAAACATTCATAATAAAATAGCCTAATATTTTTTTAAACAACAAAAGAGATTGTAGAAAACACATTAAACTGCTCTAAAAGTATAGCTTTATTTTTAAGAGCCTCAGTCTTTTGGGAACTTATCTTAAGCGTCTGTGTGTGCAGCAGACCTGTCTTTAAGGTCATCCCTTTAGCTATGGGCAAATCACTGAAATCCACTTTCACGTCACAGTCTACACTTCCGTAGGACTAGTAATGTTTTACAGTATAGTCCACCTTACAGCTCTGCACAAGTTATTTTAGCATCCAGGGGCAACAAAACTTAATGTAAAAGCCAACATTGAAGAGTTCGCTGCTGCACGTCTATTACTTTTATGTTAATCCGTACTCGCACACCGTTCAATTGCAGCTTTTCCTCCACTGCTTACGTCCACATCGTATCAACAAAGTGGCAGAAACCATGGAATGATTCTCCACTACCTTTGGTCATAAATTCACGCTCTTTTGTCCATTCTGGGTTAAACGACGTCCTGGTTTTGACAGGGTGCTAACTTTAATACTTAGCATCAGTAATTCTGACCCTTGTTTATTTTTGTAACCAATGACAAGCAGATCTTTGTCTGACACGCCACCACTCTTAGCCAATCATCTGTTAGATCAGATAGTGATGCGTTTTTGATGATTGGATATTGTGCTGCAGTCCAGCAAAGAAATAAAAAATAAAATAAAAATAAAAATCTGCTCTACAAGCCCAGCGTGTCATAAAGGAGGACAAATACACGTCTGGCTGGATGCGCCGCCGGACGCTGGACAGTGCAATGAAAATCCAGACTGTCCGCCCTAATGCCTGACATCTGGCCACCCGAGAGGTCGTGGATGAGTCTTCTCCATCATACATTGACATGCAGGGCAATGTCAGGTCTTTGTTCTCCACACAGTATTTTGTATCCAAGCCTAAAAGTAAAATTTTAGTCTAATCTAACTTGAAACCCTCTGCTTCATGCTAGCTAGGACCGGGCTTTATTTCAGGAATGTTTTTGTTTTTTGTTTTTAGCGAAGCAGTCCTTCGGAAAGACAAGATTTGGGTTTTTTCCATTGTCAGCATACAGTAGGTCTCACTGCTGCTTTTGTTAGCAGGTCAGCATTGGTTAGTGCCAGTCTCTTGGTAGGTTTGCAGTTAAGTTAAACTTTTTTTGTTTTACCTAAGGCTTCATGATGGTGATTGATAAAGGAAATTAGTTACACTTTATTTAGGTTCTTTAAACTAAAAGTTAGGTGAACGCGTACACAAACATACTTTTCAGACCTTCAGAAATAAATGGAAGGCATTGGAAAACATGTATTCTTCCTTCCACTTTTGCAAGGCCCTAGAGATAATATGAAACTCGGTACTGTTTTTTAAAAGTAAAAATGTGTTATCAGTACAGAACTTATTAATTAAGTTGGAATTAGTTCTAGTTCAACTATATGATAGTCTTCCAAAATAAAAGAATTGTTTGGGCAGAAATTGTTGGCTCAGAAATCTACCGAAATACTTTTTTTTTCTGGATTTTTCCATTTGAAAAACAAAGATCAGCAGAATATAGCCCAACTTTTTAAAATCTGTTCTGCATGTGTATGTGTGTGGTTGTGTTGGGGGTGTGCATTGTCCTACACGCTCTCTTCGCCCCATTGAACAACAGGGATGAAATGGAGATGAGTTAAAGTGCTCGCACAAAGACTGACCAGACCCCTGGGTAGCTCCAACAATGAAACCTCCAAACACAAGAAAGTGAGAGCCTCTTGTAGAAGCTCCGAGAGAAAGTAGAGAATGAGAAGGGGGAGAAATTAAGGAGACCAGCTTGAAAGAAAAAAAGAGAAAGAGAAGAAGGGCCAAACCATCCTGAGAGCAGGAGGAAATGGATGGTGGGCAAAGGTAAGAGAATGGAGAGCCACCCGGAGAAAATAGCAAGGTACCTAATCCCTCCAGAGAAATAAAGCAGCTATATGTAAATGAAAGACGTGAAGTTTGGCCATCTCTTTGATCTATAAATCGGACTCACCCTTCCTCCTCCTCTTCTTCTCCTCTTTCACTCTCACCCACTTCTCCTTCCTCATTTTTCCTTAAAGGAAAATCAAGCCTTATTTAGCTTAATCTCACTTAATAGCATCCAGCTCTTCTTTTGTCCTTGCTGATGCTAACAGATTCCTGTCCATTCTCTCCCCCACCATTCACATATCTCCCCTCCATAATCCTCTTATTCCGGGGTGGGCAATTATTTTGAGCATTTTATCAGCATTATGATTATGATTATTCTCATTCTTATTATTCATGCAGGCCACGCGGAGGGGCCAGGTTTTCGGTGAGAATCTCGTCCCCGACCGTGCCCCTCCTTGGGGGAAGGCCGGTTGCTTGGGGTGGCGAGTTTGCAGGAGGGGTCCCCTCCATTCAGTGCAACACATTTTCTGGGCGTTTGAACATATTGTAGAAAGAGTGCAATAAGTAGCACCGAATCACCCGTCCTGGCTCCTCAACACTTAGACACATCAAGAACCTCAGGTTGGAGGAGTGAGAGGGGGCTAATAATCAAAAGGCCTTCTTTCAGCCCTGCGGTAATTACACAGGCGGGTTTTGATCTTTTGCTTGCAAGAGAAATGAAAGGGGGTAAAGATGAGGACTGTTTCACTGTTTTCAGGTGATATGAAGGGGAAAGCTTTACAACTCAGCATCTTGTAAGCATCTGCTGTATGTCGGACATAGTTAAGCTGTGGCAGTTAAAAACCTAAGGAAATAGCAATAACAGATGTTTGCCAGTGAAAGGTTTTTATTCCCGAATCTACTAAGAAAAATATTCAAACTGTAATAAAATATTTTACAATTGCGATTTTAATGTCATAACAATAAAAAAAAAAAAAAACTGTTTGTGTATCTCTTTAACCTAAATGCTTTGTTTATTGTGTTGGAACAAATGTTGGGTTGTTTTAACCATACAGTTGTATAAATACCAATTCATCACCACACCATTAAAATGTTAACTGTTTTCACTGATTTAAATAATAAGAAGCTAAAATTGCATGTCATATAGATTCACTAGGCATAGAGTGAAATGTTTTAGGTGTTCATTTCTAAGCATTTTGATGAATATGTCTAAAACTCACTGAACATTTAAATTATTGTGATATCCACTGAATTTTTGTTTGCTCCAATAATGTTTGATGTAAGTTAAACGCATCTTTAAAAAAAATAACAGGTATTTATTCTATTCTTTTTAAGCCCACATTTCAGTTTTAATTAGCTTTACTTTAATTTACTTACTAAAATAAATGTACTTTTCCAATACATGAAGAACAAGGAGAAGAAGAAGCAGCTTTAATGTCCAATTTGTCCTTGTCAGATATTGTAAAGATATGTTGTGAATACACACTATGTTAGTTTTAGTGCAAATGTGTAGTAGTGCATTTATTGAACCAGGAGGTAGTGGTTTGAGTGCGACATCAGAGTGAGGAACATTTGATCAGTTTTACCATCAAATCATGGAATATATGTATTGATTTGAGGACTTTTAATGATCCTCACATCTTTTTTTTTACTAAGGTTAAGGCTTAACACTAAAGTCTTAATTGGGCTTAGATTATGGTTAAGATTATGCCTGCACTGGTAATGCTTTGGTTTAGAGTTATTGTCAGAATAAGGACATAGAAAATGGAATAAAATCTGTGCCTAAAATGCTGCAGGCTATAAATACTCTGAGTCCATCACAGGCTCAAAAGACTGTAATTTGATAGTATTTTGATGGTCTTGTGTAAATTTCTTGGAAATTCAAAGTGTGAGCAGCAGATTGATATATGAGTTAGGTTTTTTGAGCTGAGTCACTAAATTAGATTAACTTATCAAATGAAACTCATGCATTGTTTCTTTAGCATAGCTCAGATTTTTATTTAGATTAAGTCAGGTATTCTGAACACCAAAACAAACAAGCAAAGAAAAACAGTAATTTTTGTGAATCTTTATTCTAAATATGCTGCTTTTAAAAATGCATAGACAAAAACTAAAATGCAGAAATCTTTGCAGAAAGGTTTTGTTTAATGATCAACAGGTAGAAACAGGTTCATCCAAAGCTGCATCCAAAACTAGTACCAGACAACAGCCTTTGATTCCATCCAAATTCAGATGAAGAATTTCTATTTGCATTATCATTTCATCGTCAGTCAGCTGTTGGCATCTCAAAAATAAACTGCAGTCAACTGCAGTCAAGCGTTTTAAACATATGAATCTGAAACACATTTTTAACAAGGAATCCGATATTTTCCAATGAGGCTCCAGCTCGCCTGTGATGAACTAAAAAAAAACACCCTGAACCAAAAATGTTTGACTAAATACAGATGCTTAGATGAAATTAGCATATAATCATAGGTTGTGTAGCAACATTTTATGAAGAAGTTAAAATGTTAGAAAAATACTAATTCCTATAAAATCTTGTATCTGTGCACAAAGCTCCATTCTTCATCAACCTCTTCGGTTTGGGTCTTCACTTTGGGAACCTGGGTGCAGGTTTGGTGTGGTTGAATCTGGGCAGTCTACAGACTCCACAGGGACAGGGAGCAACACCTGGAGCCCCCACAGAGCTCCACTGCACTGGGGCCAGCGAGGCCTCCATGGGGCCCGAAGGAACCGGAGCACATTTAGCTGTTGTGGAGGATGGTGACCCGGCAGAAGAAGAAGAGGAAGAAGAAGAGGCGGCTGATAGGAGGGGTTCATGAGTCAGTAGGAGCTGTCCGGGACCGGTGATTAGGGGCCACCCCCCAGCAAACAGCAGCCGGGGGACCGGCCCAGTGCTCACCCCCATCCCGATGCTTACCTCCCCCAGCAGCCGCCGCATCTCCTGCAAAGATGAACCTAGAAGGAGGATGTAGTTCCTGGCCAGAACCAGGGTGGAGATTTTGGAGAGCCTCCGGCCTGGAGGAGCCCCCGGCGCATGTGACTGAGAGGGAGAGGAGGAAGAGGAAGCATAAGGCACCATGACTTCCCTCAGGGCATCCATTGCGATGTTCAAGTCCTGCATCCTCTTCCTCTCTCTGCTGTTGATCTTCCTCCTCAACTCCTGCTGCTCCTCTGGACTTAGCTCCTTCTGGGGTTTGGCTGCTCTTGGGCCATTCTGCAGGCTGAGGAGCGGTGCAGCATTCAGGCGGGAGTTTAAAGCAAACCCTGGAGGGCAGTGGGGTAGATCATGCACAGACCCGTGGCCACAGAGAGGTAAAGACTGCCCCTGGGCAGCTGTGTTTGACAGCATGTTCATCCCCTGCTCAGGAGTTGGCAGAGTCACACTCTACTCTGACTCTAAAAGTTTAACAAAAAAACAGATGTGCAAAAAAAAAAAAAAAAAAAAAAGCGTCCGACTGTAAATTCAGCTCATCATCCTCTTCTCACTCTCTTCTATGAAGATGAGGAAGTTGACAGCTGCCATGCAGCACAAGTACAGTTTGACTCTTGGCTGCAAAGGAAGCTTCTTGAAGTAGTAGCTCGGTTATCTCATCTTCACAGCTGTGAGAGGCAAGAATCCCAGCTCAAAGAGCTGGAGCCGTGAGCTAAATGCTCCTCTTACATAGCTCCACCTCAGCTCAACTCCTCCCTTATACTTACTCACCCATCATGTTGCATTGATACATTTGTGATAAAGATGGAGATTTAATAGAAATGTTGAAACGGTGGAGGACACCTAATAGAAGTTTCTAACTATGAAGGAAAAAAACAATGAATCATTAAACAGATCAACATTTCCCACCTGCAATGCAGCAGAAGAGCATTATTATTTCACATGATTTGTGCAGGTTAATGTGAGGCTTTTGGAAAATAGCAGTTTTTCTCAGAAATAATAATTTATTTATATTAAAAAGGTCATCAATAATAAACATCTAATAATTTAAAAAATCTATTTTCTTTATTTCTAATGTGTCCTTCTGATATGCAGTGCCTTGCAAAATCATTCATAATTCTTAAACCTTTTGAACGTGTCACATTACAGCCAATGTTACTGTATTTTAAGGGAATTTTATGTCATCGGCTAACAAAATCTCAGCTGCGATTGTAAACTAAAAATAGTTTTACAAAGATTTTTACAGGTAAAAAGATATAATTCTTTGAACATGCTGTTGCACTGATAGCTGATGGTGAATACCTCTGCCTCTGAACATCTAGAAACATTTTCTTTTTCTACACTGGAAATATTAGCTAGAAATAAGTAAAAACTTCTTAAATTAAGTGTATTTACCCTTAATTTGAATAGGTAAATTCTATAATTTGCCAATGGAATGAGTATTTTTACTCTTAAAATAAGATAATTAGGTAAAATGCAATTGAAATAAGGCAATAAAATTGTGTTTTCTTATTGTAAACCTAAATTATCTTGTTCCTTTGGCAAAATGTCTCTTTTATCTCCTCAATTCAAGAACAAATGCACTTATTTTAAGAAGATTACTTATCTAGATTTTGATTTTTTCCAGTGTATTTCTTCTCCATGTTAGGCAGGATCCCCTTCTAGATGGAAATAGGTTACTCAACATCTTTTAGTTTTTGCGTTGGCTCTAAGTTTAAGGTTAGTTTACCTGCTGGGAGGGGAACGTCACCAATCTAAGTTTATATGTAAGTTTATACAGGTTTTCTCGTAAAACTGTTCTATAAAAGCTTAAATAAAAAAAAAAACTAAAACACCATCAGTTCTGATCTCAATAACTACTTACATATTAAACTAGAACTTTATTTTTATAAATATTTTTTTCCTTTTCATTGAGCAATATTTTAATCACTGCCACAACTTCAAATTAAGGGCTAAGCCAACGCTCCAAATCAGAAGATGAAGCAAACACCGGGAAATGGGATTTAGTCTTAATTAAAAGCTTGGAGGCACTAATGAATAAAAGACAAACAACATTATGGGCTTAATGGAATTTACCACTAAAACCGGTTAACAAGTTGGAAGCTATTAAATCCATCAGCACTGTGTTAAGTGACGGAGAGCAGTTATAAGCGCTAGTAGCCAAGGTATTAATTGTGTCGGAGAACAGTTTTGGCAAACAGTGAATGGATCCATCATTGTGTGGGGGAAGTTAATTGACGGTTTAGAGGTGGGTGTTATTGTTGTTCAGTTCTGAGCGGCCTTGCTAACCAAATTGGCCAGCAGAGAGCTGGGCACTGATCCAGACAGCCAGACAACAGCCCAATTGACTCCAAACACAGGTGAAGCTGGCTTAGGGCACAGACCAAGCATGAAAACCTCAAACGTGCCATTCATTAGCCACAAAAAGACCTCAGGATCACCCCGTTTCACAGCGAGCCGTCCTCTCCTTACCCTGTATCCACCCCAGTTTCATGTAAAGCTCATCTGAGAGGGAGAAAAGGAAGGTTGGGGGAAGAGCAGAGGGACAGCACCGACACAAACAGAAGGCAAGTTGTTTACGATGAAAGCAGACGGAGATGCAGAGGAGGAAGACCCTTCCAATCCCACCACCCCCCTCCCCCCCAGCTGTTCCTCCCTTGTCGTCTAAGGCGTGCGTGGAAGCGCTTCCCTTCCCCACCAGTGGGCCGGTGGCGTCCGGCTGGTGCTGTGATTGAAGCTGAATGGGCGGCTGCAGACGGACAGGAAAGAGAGGGCTGCATGAAAAGGGCCAGGCGGATGGCCCTCGCACCTGCAGGAGAACAGAGTGCGGGCAGCCAGGATGAATGTGTGAATGTGTGCGTGCTCCGGCGTTTGTGTGCGTGCACGCCAGCTCAATTTGATTTCTAGTGCCTGTCTCAACAAAGACATGTAATAAACTGAGTCGTGAAAGAAAACCTGGTGTGATCTTCTCTTTCTTGACTGTGTTTTAGGATTGTTTCTGTGTCAAGGAGGGGAAAAAGGGACACCTGCAAGGAGCCACACATACAGAAGTCAGAATAGAGTGGAATGAAAGAAAGAAAGAAGCTGGTGTCCCCCCAGAATGGAGCACCTCCCCCGCAGTTTCTCTGCCACTTACAAGGGAAAGAAAAGTGAGCTTGATTTGGGGCTGCAGCTCAGCATATCCGCCTACAGCTCGCAGCTTCTTTTGATGAGGCTGGACCCGGGCTGGAGCACCGGTGGCTCCAGGGCAGGAGGAAGACTAGTGTCTTTATGATGGAAGAAGTACTATCCATCTGGGCAAGGCCGTCCAGTGAGGGGTCTGCACCTGGGAGCTAAATGCCTCATCTGTGTAGAGTCGTTTCCTGTGGCTGGCAAACAGGAAGACACCTCAGCCAAACTCCTGGGTCAATCTATCCCCTACACGCTGAGCGAGAAATCACACCACAAGTGATACCACGCTCTTTCTTGTTGTTTCCTTTGTTAATTGGCTGTTCGGAAGATCAAACCCTAACAGACATAAAACATTTCTTTAATAGACTCTGGAGATGCTGCAAATGCTTTCAGTGAAAGAAAATCCCTGCAAAACTTATCATTTCTGTTGAACTTTTTTAGTCAAGATCTTCTTTATTATTAATAAAAATTTTCAGGGAATCATTTGATAGTTTGAAATGGAAGGAAAATTCAAATTATTTTATTTTTATGAATTATTTTTAAAATGCACTATGGATGTTTTTCAGCCCACTGCATTGTGAGACCCCTAAAAATATAGAGCAATCTTTACAAATGACCACATCAGTACATGGATTTCACCTGCAAGATAATCTCACCGTCATTGGAGGCTTTAAGGCTTTGTTATGGAACATTAGTGAACAAATAGCATTTCGAAGACTAAAGAATACAGTAGACAAGTCGGGGAAAAAGGTTGCACGGCCATGTTAAGCTGCAGGGTTGCGTTATAAATCCATATTACTAAGCCCTAACAGAGCTTTGTTCAATCCATCATCAAAAATGATAAGAATATGGCCCATGCAGAGAAGAAACACAGCGACCGATGG